GACGAGCTGTGTGGAAACTCCGAGGAAACGGGTTGCGTCATTCTTTTTTTTTTTTTTTTTAAGTAATTAGCATATATATGTAACTGGGAGTGGAGGGTAGGAGGAGGAGGAGGAGGAAGGTGGGGAAGGGAGAGGGGGGGAGGAGGAAGAAGGTGGGGAAGGGAGAGGGGGGGAGGAGGAGGAGGAAGGACGAGGAAGGAGGTGGGGAACGGAGAGGGGGGGGGAGGCAAGGGGAGAGAGATATGTGGAAGGGGAGGGGTGAGAGATAGGTGGAAGGGGAGAGAGGTGAATGGAGGAGGGAGGGAGGGAGAGAAGGAGGGTAATGATGTAGGTCGTATGGGGGGGGGGGAAGGGAGGGAAAAGGGGTCACATGCCCCAAGGCGTGACATGTGCCGCAGGGAGAAGAGGGGAAGTGGCGGGGGAGGGGGAGTGGAATAGAGGGGGAGAGGGGGAAGGTAAGGGTTCGCAGTGATGGGGAACGCTTAAGTGTTTGCTGGGAGGGGAAGATGAGGATGCCATTGGCGGTCATGAAGAGGCCCCGTGTGTGTGTGTGTGTGTGTGTGTGTGTGTGTGCGCGCGCGCGCGCGCGTGTATATGTATGTATGTATGTATACTTGCGTGTATTCGTGCATGTTTATGTGGGCATATTTCTGCGCGCAAATGTTTATGTACGAGGTTTTCTATCGTCCTTTGCCGAGGGTGGAGTCGGCAGTCGGGCGACGGGGACACGCCCGAACGAAGGCCCGCAGACGCCTCCGCCGCAGTCGCGTGTCTTGCTCTCCTCTCGACGACAGACAAAGGCGAAGCTGTCGTTGAGAAAAAAGAGCAGGAGAAAAATTGCGTCGAACGGGCACAGCGAGACGGGAGAGGGGTGGGGAGAGTTATGGGCAGGGAGGGTGAAATGAGGGTACAGGTAGGGAGGGGAATGCCGGGTATTCGCGGCGTGGTTCGGCGGGCGGTCCGCTCGTTCGCGTCCATGTAGGGGCGAAGCGCGAATTACTTCCTGTACCGCACAGCACCCTCCCTCTTTCTCTCCTAGCTGCCAATCTATCGTCTGGTCTTCTTCCCCTACTACTGCTCCCCCTTTCGTGGCTTTCTCCCCCTCTTCCTCCTCGTCTTCGCATCACCGCCCCCTCTCTTGTCCCTTGTTTATCTACCCTCTCCATCCCCCCTTATCTCGCCGGGCGCTTCCTTCCTCTCTGTTCATGACAACGACATCCTGTTAACGTTTTCCTGTCCCGGGCGGCGAAAGTGCCTTGCTCTGCGCGTGTTCAATCCCCGAGGCGTCACGGGGCAGCGGAGGCACGAGGCGGGGAAGCCTTAGGCCTTTCTTCGCGCGCTAATCGAATAAGGCTCTCCGAAGGCGGTTTTAATGAAGCCCTGGCAACAAGGCTGGACGGCTGGACGAGTCGACGGCCAATGCAGCCCGGTGCTTTGGCGGGCGGAGGCCATTTTGAGCCAATTAGGCAGCAGAGAAAGAAGCAGCTGCGTCGCCTATACAGTGCTCATCTGCAGGCAAGGTCGTCGGAGGTGCGACTGGGCTTCCAAGTGCGAGAATTGTCCGCATTAACCCCTTAGGGCTGCGTGAACAGGGCCCGCCCCCAGGGGGATAATTGGATGCGTGGCGGTGAACCTGTCGATCCAGAATTCCTGGAGAGGCAGCCATGCCATAGGTGACGGAGGGGCGATTGAGAGGTCTCGGGTTACGTGCGAAGCGGCACCGAGAGCCGAAGCCCTGCCAGGAAGCCCCGGCAAGTGATGATAGCGTATGTGCGGCCCGAGGGTGGCGGACGTGTGCGCGCGGTGCTCCTGCGGTCGAGGATTTGGTGCTTCGTGACGGATATCACGCCTACTTCTTGTCTCCGCGACGCGACGGCGTTTGTGATTCATCACAATAGAGACTCGGACTCAGCCACGTTGATTGAAGGCTCCGGCGATCCCGTTGATGGACGGCGAGCAGGCGGCACGACGAGCGCGAGGAGGACGAGCAGTCTCTCGGCTCACGTGTTCAAGGACTAAAAGTACCAAGTGTTGCTCAGTGTAGTGTAATTTCTCACTTGAGATTCTCCATAGTTATAAAACTGAGTCTATACAGGAGAATCAAGGTCCCGGTACTTGGGGCCTCGGTACGCCAGGTACTACGCTGTAAAGTATAAGCCACGGGGATTTTGATAAGGAAAGGAATTCGTACTATATCGGGATTACATGTAACCCTCAAGAGATAATAGAACGACCGGGGGAGAAAAATCAAAAACAAAAACACCAATTAATAACATGTTCAGCCACTCGTACACGGTGTTGCTGCTAATTGTGAGCGTGGGCGTGGAGGGGAGCGCAGTGGGCCGAAACACCCTCCGAAGCATGCAGTGCCTCCTGATACTCGTGTTACCGGCGCTTTACTTCTTCGCCGCCTCCTACTTGGCCCCCAGATTCCGGAGGCGCGAGGAGAGCCCGCCCGAGGAACAAAATGCCGCCGACACTACTACCGCAGCCGCAACCCCGTCGATGCTGCGGACGTCCCCCTCGCTCGATGCCCCCAGGTTGTCTTTGTGGCGCAGGCCGTGGGGCGGGAGGCTCTCGCGCGGGCGCCCCGGTGGGCCTTGCCCTTCTCCTCCCGCGTTGTTGTTGTTTTTGTTTGTTTGTTTGTTTGTTTGTTTGTTTTCCTCGAATTATGTCCCTCTGTCCCCACAAGTCCGATGCCCCCCCTTTTGCTCTTGTTTATTCTGGTTGACGTGTTAGTTGTACTTTTTTTATATTTGTGCTTTCGGAAATTGACTATTTTGCATATTTTAATGTATCCTAATCAGCATATTTCGATTACCTAACATCATTAATGAAGCTATTAACAAAACATTATTATTTATGCATCTTTACTAATGGTTAATGGCAAAGGGAAAATTATATTGAGAGAGAGAGAGAGAGAGAGAGAGAGAGAGAGAGAGAGAGAGAGAGAGAGAGAGAGAGAGAGAGAGAGAGAGAGAGAGAGAGAGAATATAAGGTACTTAATCAACAGAATGAAGCTAGAGCACGTTTTTTGATAGATATAGTTGATTAAACATTAATTACCGACCACCTTGTTTTCTTAAAATCATGTGTGAGATCGTAGGTACTGAATAGCCATCAGTGCTTTCTGTTTTCATTCAAGTTTTTTTTTTCATATCGATTTTATGAAATGTGTCTTCATACCACTTACACTCTCTCTCTCTCTCTCTCTCTCTCTCTCTCTCTCTCTCTCTCTCTCTCTCTCTCTCTCTCTCTCTCTCTCTCTCTCTCTCCTCCTCTCTCTCCTCTCTCTCTCCTCTCTCTCTCCTCTCTCTCCTCTCTCTCACTCCCTCCCTCTCTCTCTCTCTCTCTCTCTCTCTCTCTCTCTCTCTCTCTCTCTCTCTCTCCTCCTCCTCTCTCCTCCTCCTCTCTCTTCTCTCTCTCTCTCCCTCTCCCTCTCCCTCTCCTCTCCCTCTCTCTCTTCTCTCTCTCTCTCTCTCTCTCTCTCTCTCTCTCTCTCTCTCTCTCTCTCTCTGCACACTCATATTCATTTGTAAAAATGTATACAGACATGTATTCATGCACATACCTACACCATAGAACACTTTCACTCATTCACTTGTACATGTATTTGTATATATATATATATATATTTTTTTTTTTTTTTTTTGATGCCATATAAAATTTAGATAAACCACAGTATATTAATGTAAGCCCTTTTTGCCTTGCAGTCAAAGTAAACTGAGCGGAGATGAAGTAACGCCAATCAAGGAGAAACCAGAGCACCCTTCAGTCACTCCGGAGTCGCCACAGAACAAGGTATGTTTCCAGAAAGAGGTATGCCAGCCAAATTTAGCCTAATGGTGAAATCTCCATTCTCAGTTCAGAGTCGAGTCTTTAAGTGACATTCAAGATTCTAGGTTGTTTAGTATTGTACAGCTATAGATTTTCTTTCCTTTTTCTTCCTTTTTTTCTTATTTGTTTATTTATTTATTTTATTTATTGTGATTTTTTTCTTTTCTTCCTTGATTCATATGTAGTTTATATATAGTGGGTTGTTCTACCATCTTAATATCATTGATTTACACCTTGATATTCCTCTATAGATACAGTCTATATTTTCTTCTATTAAAGATCTGTCAAAGAGGACAAGAAATTGCTGTGAACATTGTGATTTTACTCATCAAAGTAAGAGAAAATTAACAATACTCAAATTCTGAAGATTGGTCTGGTATTGCTTGTGACTGAAGCAGAAAAGAGCCAATGATATTAGCAGAATTCCCTTATCATTGTTAATTAATGTTTACAGTTGATGATGTATGAATTATTGTGTTATTGAAGTTAGATCCTCTGTCTTGAAGTGACATTTGAATAAGCAGATATATCAGGGGTAGTTGGCTTTGAAATCTACATTGTTAATATGAATATATCAGGGGTAGTTGGCTTTGAAATCTACATTATTAATATGAGTATATGTTTGTACAAGAATTCCTTTGGCCTGGTTACAGCTTGCAGTATACCTTGAAGACCATTATATCAGTAACTGAAAAACTTGTGTTGTGTAATTTGTCATATTTAATGTTCATTACTGTTACAGATCATTGTGTAATGATTATGGTAAAGTCTATTTTATAGGATGTATATCATAATTTATTGTAATTGAGCTGATTTTATTAGAAGTTATGTATTTCATTCACAATTAGAAAGGGAGGAATTAAAATATGGTAAGGAGCCACCTCTTCTTCAACAATAATTTATTAGCATCACTTATTATCATGGAGACTTATAAGCTTGTAAAAGATGAGAAAATTACAGTCTTTCTGGGAGTTATTCTAGGCTATAGAAGAGTACCAGTCAGAGGGAGAACATGGAAGTGCCTCTAAGTGACTTCTTCCCACTATTCCTTCTCTTCACTTCTGTTATGAAACTTTGTGTAGAAAAATAGTAAAATTCCAAAACCTATTTTTCAAGCCCCCCCTTTAAGTAAGGATATCATTCTGATTTTCCTAACCTTTATGAATAGCGATTGGTAAATTGTGTTGGCAAATGTAAGATTTCCAAATTTATAGTCAGATGTGTTAGGTAGCATGGATTAGTTAATAGTGTAGTTTTTACATAAATAGTTTTTGGAATTCCACATATATGGCCAGTGTTGAAGTCAGGATATATATCATCATTCTTACTAAATTACATATATATATGTTTATATATTTTTTTTCTAAAATTAAGTCTTGACTTTATTATTAAGATCATTTGTATAAACCAAAACTTATTTTTGCCACTGAAGAACACGGGTAAATAGTGGATTAAACTGTAACTTCACAATAGACAGCAAGTTTTACACAACATGCTTTGATTAGCCACCAAGTACGGAAATCCCATTAGTGTTCCTAGCTATGTCCTTCCATAACCTGAATTATATGCCTCCTTTTTTGGAATATGAATTTCAGCCTGTCCCGTCCACTTCCACTCCTATTCCACCACGTGAAGAAAGATCGGCTCCTGAAGGCACCAGCAGCCCAACACCCCGTCCCAGCGACACCTCCGAGCACAAGCCCTCGTCTTCGCGCCCCCTTTCCGTCCCCCCGGATGGTTATGTGACCACTGCAGAGGTAAGGGCCGTCCTCTTGGAGTCCTGCACAGCCCATACCTTAGGAAGCTCTTGTGGGGGCCTGTTCTTCAGGGCTACTTAGATCGAGGTCTCTTTGTGTGGTTCATGTTTTTTTAGGAGGATCATGTTCAGCCCAGCATTTGGGGATCTTTTACATAGGACATTGGGAACATTTGACATAGACAGTAGTGGAAGTGGAGACCTCATGCGTATCATGTTAGTAAAATATGGTGCCATCATTGAAGATATTCTTATATTAGTTGGATTATGTTTTTGTGTGGATTTTATTGATTTTATTTATGATGATTTCACGTTTCTATGATTTGGAAGTTCCTGAAGGCTTGGTGAAGGTATTGCATATTATGAAGTATAGGATTTACTTTGAACTTCCCTGTGAGCCTTCATTTGTTGAATGCATATCTTTTTTCCATGAAATCATCACTATATGAAATTGGCTTTAAGCATCCCACTTGTCCGCTTTTCAAGATCAAATAAACATCTTTTAACTTGAAATTATTTTTGTTAATGCACTTAAGGAATGAGAGATTGCACCATTTGGTTGAACTATATCACTATTGATTAATGTACTAAAGATTGTTTGATTTGCATGGCAATGAAAAATTCCTATATGAATATATTTATTCACAACTTTCTTTCGCAATATTTAAATAACTTTGAACCTGATTCTACCACTGCATGAAACTTAATATGAGACAGTCATGTCTGTTTACCTGTGCTTGGCTGAATTCTAATAATGATTCTTATTTTCCTTGACTCCGTAGGTAGAGGAGCTCCTGAAGCGACAGTCACTACAATTTGAAGAAAAGCTCCTCCGAGCGGAGTTAGCTGCTGGGGAGAAGGAGAGAAAATTGATACAAGCCATGAAGGAGGAACAGAAGGAGAAGGGCAACCTAGGGGGGTCATTGACAGAGCTAACACAGTCACGCGATGCTCTGCTCAAGATGGTGGGCCAGTACAAGGGCATGCTAGCACAACTAGTGGGTGAGAAGGAGAAGGAAAAGCAGAACGCGGAGGAAAGAATCAAGACCCTCGAATCAGAAAGAAACCAAGCCCTAGATGACTTAGCCAATGTGGAGAATGCGTTCTCTGATGTACATAGGTATGTTGGAAGATTCTGATGGGAGTCTCTGCATTCTTGATTGTGAGGAAGTGTTGGTGAAATAAATATAATGAGGCTTGTTATTCCTCTGCAATTTTAAAGAAGGTTTATGTACTGTCTTTATCATACAAGTGATACTTGTAGGATATTTTTTTCCCTTTACTGCAGTTTTTATAAAGAAAATATTGTCCAGCTTAGTTTCTATTTTAAATATAATAACTTCTCACAGTATCAGAATTACGTTAAATGGTATGCACTATCCACTTGTTATGAAAAAGAAGACTATTTGTAAACATTTTTTTTCTGAATTCATGAAGTCAGAAATTTATGACAAATTTTCCTTTCTCTGCAGGAAATATGAAAGAACAAAGCAGGTAGTTGACACACTGAGAAGAAATGAAGAAACCCTGCGTGGTGCTATTACAGACTATGAAGGCAAATTACAGAAACAAGAACAGAAGTTTATTGAATTCCAGAAACATGCAGAAGAGAAAATACAGTTGTAAGTTACAGTGTTCTTCACAGATATGCCTCAGAGATTTGGATGTCTTCTTTTGTATATTAATTCATTGTGATGAGAATTTATTTTTACATGTTTTGTGTATGACTTCTAAATTATTGTGTTCATATAGTAGATTTTTTTTTACACAATAATTTGTAGTTTTTTTTCTCTCTCTTTTTTTCTTCCTTTTTTTCAAAAATTACTTTGCATTACAAGTTGTTGAAGTACATTGCTGTAATTAGTGGTACAGCGTATTTTTAGGTAATAGTCCTTTAGTTAAACGAAAGTCCAGTTTACGGCAGTCTGTGATTGTCCTATTTTTCTTTGTATTCAGTATTTTGTAACATTGTGAGAAATGTTCTTAACATTTTCCTCCACTTTTTTCAGAGCAAATGAGGAGTTTGAAACAATGAGGAAAGCAAATGAGCAAGAAATGACCAAAATGGCTGCCCTCCTGAAGAAAGCAGAAATGAAGATTGTTTCTCTCCAGGACGCCTTCGACAGGAAGACCCGAGAGAACCAAGAACTAACACAGCTCTGTGATGACCTTATCAACAAAGTTGGAGGAACGAATTAATTGTTGAAATTTAATGTTCTCTGGTAACAAAATATAACTGATTAGGATTAGACTGCTGCTGCTGAAACAAGTTTTAAATGAGGAACGTCAAGATAAAGGCCCATCTCATATTGTTAAGAGAGCAGCAACTGTGATCATAAACCCCCCTGAAATGGTTCAGTCTGGGTATCTTTTTCCTACAGTAATAGATTGGACTGGTTTGATACATATTAAAATAATGAACAAAATGGAATGATTTTTTCGAATTTCACTGTCGTCATTCTTCTTTTGTATATTTTAACATGTGACCTGAGGTACTGATTGGATACCTTCTATCCTGACTCAAACTGCTTCACTGACACACTGAATGATGTTGTTAATGTGTGTGTCAGGTAGTATGATGTATGTTGTGCAAGGAGTCATGCAAAATATCAGGCCACCCAATTGAATCTTTGTGAATAGCTGAAGAAATTTTAAAGCTTGCAGTGAGTTTGTTGAGTATATCTAGAGATTTGGCTTTTTGTCAGTTGATAAATATTACCAAACTGATATCCTGCACTGATTGTCATTATGTAAATGCAATGTACATATCAAATAAGGAGAATATTGCCTGATAGGTTATACACTAATATTAAAAAAAAAGAGAAATTAGTATAGCTGGGGAAGAAAGTAGCATTGATAACAGAATCTATATTATATATTATTACCAGTGTGTTAAACTGGAAAGCTTGTAAATAATGATAATTTTACACATTTCCATCACTACATCGTTATATATCACTCGATTGTGAAGCATTTGTGCAATTCACAAAAACAGTTTCTATGAAATTAACTTAATTTTGCCATTAAGCTGCTCTTCTATTGTGAAATGTGGAAGCTGTCGGGTTGAGAAATCAGCTGGAAACAAGCAAGAAGACAGAGCATGATGTACATGATGATCCCGCGTACCGAAAAGTGCGTGGGAGAGTTTGCCATTACTTAAGCATTTGATAACCGGTTCCAGACTCTGGAATGCACGATTTGTACGAGTAATATCTAATAATAGAGATTGAGAGTGTTATCCCTGATGCTGGTGTGACAGGTGACGAATGGTGTGAAGGGTAATAGGGCTGTGATAGTACACCATTTTTGTCTTTGATGAAATAGCTGCCAAAGGTCTGCTGATAAGATTTTGCTTCTGTTTTATATTTTTATTGATAGATGCTTGAAGGTAGTCAGACCAAGCACAAAATATTATTTCTTTGATATGCTTGATTTCTCTATGTTTAGTAAACACGACTGAATGCCAATTCCATCCAGGGTTGACAAAAATATATCTATAGGAATATTTGATTTCTAATTGGACAGACACAAGAGGTGTTCTTTCCTTTTCATTTGGTTGGGAATTTTGCCGTAGAAACCCAGTTCTTTTGAATAGATACGTAGTAATCTGAATTGTTACTAAAGTCGAATAACAGAATCATTGGTTTCATTGAAAGAAAACAAGGATTTATTGTCATTAATTTTTAACAGTTCCTAGTCTCAAAAAGAAATTGGTGTAGCTTTTACATCCTGCGCCTCATGTAATGAAATAATATGACACATTTTTCAGTATTCATGAGAGCTGTAGACGTCCCGATCCCCAAGCTTGAATTTGAATTTCCTTTCTGATAGTAAACTTATGAGATAGAAGCTCAAATTCAGTGTTTGCAGTCAGCTTGCCAACTGATTATATATATATATACAATGACTTGCTACATCAGAATAGGTGCATGATGTTAGTAGGGATCATGATTTTTTTCATCAGCAATACATGTTTATTATTTTAGTGTTGATTTACAAAATTTGTGATCAAAAAGGTGCACGAAATTCAATTCCTACAAGAGGGAGAACTGTATTAGATGCAGTACTCTTATAAACAAACAAACAAACAAACAAAAAAAAGCTAGGGGAAAAAAAAAAAGCAATGTGCCTTATAATACATGACAAGATGGATAATCTGAAAAATAATACTTGATGAGGAAAAATCCGAACTTGTTTTTTTGATAAAGAGTAAAAGGGCACATTTACGCAGACCAGTCAATAAAAGTATGCAGATTGCTTGTCAGTTACGTATGTAAATGTATATGCAGAAATCTTAGTTTCGAGGCTCATAGCCCCAGATTATTTATGACTTTTAGAGAGATCTTAAGTTTATCATGTGACACTTCTTTATGTATTATAGATATTAAAATAAATTAACACACCATTTTAAGATGTGTTATTTCCCCTTTTTTTATAAAAATCGTTTGCAGTTTGATTGTGTACTTATCCTTATATTAAAAAAAAGATGAAAAGTAAGACTATGGAGAGGTTTGATCAGTTTTGTTAGATTCATACATCTCACCAAATATTATGTCATTACAGCAGCCAGAATTGTAAAATAAAACAAATAAATATGATGATGATAACCATGGCAGGGTTAATAATTTCATACTTAATTAATACTTCTTTATTTCAAATATCAATATGATCAACATTCATACATAATAATTCTAATATTACTAGTACAGACCTTTTATAAATGTATTTACAAATCAACAAGGAAATGTGGAGTTGTGTACTTTATAACACAAATGTTTGTTGAGGAACCTAAATAGCTGTACATTTCATCTATGGTAAGCAAATTACAAACTTTTTATTGCTTTTTAGTTCAGAGAAACAAAGATAAATAATCAATTGTGGAGAAAAAATAATAATTTTAGACTGATTTGCAATTTTGTTTTTATTAATGTTATTTTGTGTGTGTCAATTTTGGTGTGTTATGTGTCTGTATGTGTTTTTATTTGGTCTGTTTTTTTTCTTCTTTCCATCTCAATCGGTAAGCACATCATTTACTATCACTTTGCACTTATAAGCTGAAACCAATATATAAACATTTCAGAATGTTTGGTTTATTGTATTTTCTTTAACAGTCATACACCCTGCAATGAAAGTGTAAACTGCTGTTAACCCATGTACTAACTTCTGACTATGCATATCACAGTGTTTTATAAAAAATCATATTGATGGTTATCTAAAGGCAACTATTTTTATAATGCCTAAATAAAGCATGGAGAAAATACATTCCTAATTAACAACTGCAATCTGTAAATTATTCATGGACGCAATCAGTTTCTCACAAACATGCTTGTTTCGGAACTTAGGGCGGTCTCTCTCCAACACTTCTTTCAAGATCTCTGGAGATATCTTGCCCATCTCTTCCAAGGCATCTGGAAAATGAAGTAATTAATAAAATCAGGATGTATGTCAGATCAAACAGTTTAAATGAAAATTAAAATGATTATTTAATGCATATTATACTATGTCTACAAGCATGGAAAAAATGTTCAACCATATTATGTGCATAAATGGATCAATGTACCTGAGACAGCTCCCTGTAATATTTCATCTGGATCATCTAAAAATACAGTTGCAGACTCATACAGGTCTCTTAGCCTTGCTGTCTGTATACTAGGATTATAATTCTCAGGTAAGTGCTTGAACAGAGCAGCTAAAACTCTGGCTGATTTCAGACGTACAACTGCACTTACATCATCAAATCTTTTAACTAGCTCTGGAAATAGTAAAGCATAATAAATACGTCTTCATGACCAATGACTCCTTCGTAATAAAAGGTAGTAATATATGATATATTTACAATGGACAGTATACACAAAATGTTTACATATTATAGTATTATCCAGGCTATATATCTATATATTACATAACAAAGAAATATACATACTATTTGCTAAAGTATGTAATGTATCAGAATCAATCAACTGAGGAAAGGAACTGACAACATTCATAACAACTTCACAGGAAAGCTGGCGTGTATCTTCAGAATCATCTTCAATAAGGGCTGGGATGAGGGCGAGGCAACTTTTTACCTCTGAAAAATAAAGAAGAAAAGACATTCCATCTTTCTGATCAACTTTGGGGCCCCATCAATCAAACATCTCTTTACTTAAACAATCATCAGAATTGCATCTTACACAAGACATGTATCAGTCTAAAATACATTACCATCTGCCACTTTCTGACTTGCTACTCTAGCCTGGCACACAGAAACCAAACAAGAAACCGCTGCTGTTCTCAGAGCAGCAGCAGTGCTTCCAGCATGCCAGGGGAGGAATGGCTTCAGCATATCTGAAATTCATTGAAATTCTTGTGTTATTTAATTAGTTTCACAGGAAACCTATAACTATGACATCTATTATTGTTACCTTAGTCTATATAAAGATAATTAGTGTATTCTGTCACTTCTTCAACAGAGACAACTGGAATTCTCTTTAAACAAGTCGCTTTGTCTACAAGTGCTTTTACCTTTTTTTTTTTTTTTTTTTTTTTTTTCCCTCACGATAAGACCTAAAACTTTTCAATCAATCACCTATTGCAGAAGACTTGGCAGTATAAAAGTTAAGTACCACTGGTCTAGAAAAAAATAAGTTAGCCACAAATATTAAAATCACTATATCATTCACTTTAAGCATGTACCATGTATTTTGTGGCTTTTATAATAAAAAATCAACATGATCTGTCACCTACCAGACACAATCACAGGAAGGAATCTCTCTAGCTCTCCATTTGAATTCAAAGGATGCTCCTCTTGTTTCAGAAGATGATTTAATTTCATTAGACACTTCAGGCTAACAAAAGGATCCTGCTTCTTGGGAACACAATCGCACAAGATGCCGACTACCTTTTCTAAATGACGTCCTAGTGACTGATCTGGGGAAACAGTTATATTCACAAGTTATATCATCAACATTACTATTCTTTGTTTCACCAGACTGCTCAAAATATAGTTATGATTTACAGTATCAAGACTCACTGTTGCTTTCGGTTCTTTTTCCTAAACGAAAATGAGTGACTTTTGGCTTCAGTTCTTGTATTCTGTCACTTCAGCAAAGTAACTATTTATATGATATTTGTTTCTACTACTACATTGTACTTGATAAAAGTGAAAAGGCGTATATTTAATTTCTCATATTCTAAAATTTTCTTCTCTAAATCAATTTAACTATTTATTTATGCTTCTTTTTATTACCTTTCACACCAACAATAATGGCAGAATTGATGTACAGTGAGGACCATTTTCTACTATATTGACATTTTTTCTTCTTAGATTATTTCTTCACGTAATTCTAAAAAACATCAACATTTCTTTACTTACCAGCAAGCTCTAGCAGACCCAAAAATATCATGAAATGAGGTGTTTGCTCAGTCCAAGAGGAGGCTGTTGTGTGGATAGTATTCAGAACTGCACTTAGATGGAGATCATATAATGTGCATACTCTGTCCAGTCCACTTTTGGTCGCTAGAGTTTCTAACTGTTCTTGAGCAGAACTGACTGTATCCTGCTCCTCTGATGTAGAAGCGATATATAGTAAAACTAAGAAAAAACTGTAGCTACAGTCTCTTGGATTGCATTTTTCTATCAAGACATGAATGAGCTGTAATAAAGCACTTTGGTGTCCCTGACTGGTGACTTGGGAGATGTCCTCATTGGCCAGGGCTTCAACAATTTCTGCTATGCTTTCTTGTAGGAGAGCAGCCGGTGTGCCTCGAGCCAAGGCACTCAGAACAATCAGCGGACGCTCGCCGTACTGTCCTCCACCAAGCCTTGGCAAGATTAATGGAAGATATGTAGCTGGAGGAACGAAGTAGCCGAGGTATTCACTGCACTCAACAACCTATAACAAGGAGGGAGAGCTATTAACCCATAAAGGAAGCATCACATGATATGACACAAATGTGATACATTACTGCTGTGAACAAAGAGTCCCTTCTATTCTGATGCAAGTTGCACAAAAAATGAGTTATTAACAGATAAAACTTACATCATGATTAAAAAACATTACAAAAATTTTCTGCGTCCTGTAAAATACTCACAATTGCACTGCAACCTCACTCAAGCACTCCTAAATATAGGATACACATTCCATAGGGATTGAATGAATTAATATGCAGAATTTTTGAAAATTCATGAATAGAAAAATAAAAAACAAAAATTATGTAACAAAGTGTCCCTTCTCTCTTTCCTCCTTTTTTTATTCCTGAAACAACCATACTTTTTATCTCCAACCTGAAAACTGCTTTGCTTTGTGGTCATCCTCCTCCCTGAAGCTCTCTTGCATAGTACATTAATTTATAATACTCAACTTATGTGTTATCTCATAATGTGAGGTGCACTGTTCTTCATTCTTTTATTTTTTGCTTGCCACATTCTTAGCATGTGGTATGCATTTTGGTTAAGTGTTTTCCTCAGGATGATATTTTACATAAGGTGTTATAAGAAAACCTAACATCTTTGGGGAAAGACAATCAATGATCCTTCCTGTATATCGTATCAGACACATTGTCATCACTTCTCCAGGTGATGATAAAGGCAACATATAGATAATGGGCATTCTAAATAATGCACTGGTAATACTGCATTTGCAATAAGATGCCCACATAATATATTGAGAAAATATCTAAGAAAAAGCATTTCTGTAGCTGAAAAGGATCTCTCTCTATGATTTTTTGTAAGGCACTTCATTTGTTTTGTATGTAAACAGTTTAGCTTATTTCAGTGCAAATATTACATTCTCTTTCCTTTTGCTAGTTTAATAGTAAGAGCCTAGTTAACTCTAAAATCTTAACAAAATAAAAACAAAATGTTTGTGGAAAAATTCAATTTCTATATATTGTATCAACTTTATCAAAATCTAAGGCTATAAAGCTTATGACATTTTATGAAAAACACAATTTTCAAGTTCCCTTTTAAATAATATCCTGACTGGCTAAACTATCAATGAAGTCAATCATATTCCTAAAACAAAAATAAACGAAAGAAAGGAAGGAACACCAACCTGCTTAACGACATCAGCCTCTTTATCTGACGAGGCCAAAACCAGACCCTCAAGGATTTTCTCCGCATACTGAGTTATTCCAGATTCTGCATTCACCACGAGAGTTGTCAAGAGTTTGGCGGCCTGTAGCCTTGGTCCTGCCTGCCAGTCATCCATGTCAGTTAGCAGGCCTGGCAACATGTGGTATAGGCTCTTCTGCACCAAAGAACGACATCCAACACCTGGTCGTTTTTCTGAAAGTAAAAAAAATAAGATAAAATAAGTACATATATAAATGTGTGTGTGTGTGTGTGTGTGTGTGTGTGTGTGTGTGTGTGTGTGTGTGTGTGTGTGTGTGTGTGTGTGTGTGTGTGTGTGTGTTTGTGTGTGTGT